CGCGCGCGATCGATTCAAATAAACATGATATCCGGCGCATCGCCAGAAACATTAATCTCATTACGAGTTATCCTCGCAGTCTGTATAATTCAAGTATCTTGTAAATTCGGTTGGTTTTATATCCGCGTTATTACGCTTCGCGCTGAGAACTCTGCCTGGACGATTGAAATAATCCTTCTATAAGTAATAAAATATTCATAGAAGCGGCTCTTTATTAATTCGTCCTCTCGCGCGCATTTTACGATATCATCATCATTATTTGCGCCCGTAATTTTATAGCCTTAAGATGTGATCGTGCGTTCGCAATTACGTTCTCGCATCGCATTTTGGAAAGCAAATATTTGCAAGGAGAGAATTTTACAATAAAAATTGTTAGAGAGTCTAAGTAATTGAATAATTTGATGGATCGACATCTCACAGTAATTGACTTTGTTCTCTCATTTCATATGTTACATACGTGTTTGACTTTTTAATAAAATTATTGTGATTACTTGGATATTTTTAATACCAGGTAGATCGTCAAATTTATTATTTCTAGAGTAACTTACACACACCACAATTTCAATATAGTCTACCTTTACAAAAAACATTGTAAAGAGAAATATAATTTTAACGTAATTGTCACTATAATACTTCCTCCGCATATTTTAGGAACTGAGATATGTTATTAAAAAATTTTCTTTATTTCTAGCGTAATCCATTATATGTTTTTAGTAAAAATTTATTATGTTCCTTAACAAGATAGACTTTACTGACAGTCTGTTACTGCACTACCGACAGAAACATAACGGAATTGAAAAAACAATTTATGCGAAAAGAAACTAATATTCTCTCCGTGTGTAAATATACGAAAAACGCCGAGAGAGGGCTGGAAGAGCATGACGGAATTTGCAGCAATATTATTACGCATATTTTTCATCCCGATAAAGGTGGAAAGTGTGTTTAACGTAAAGGATGATTTGCCGTAAATTTCAATTGTGGAATATACATCGGTGTTCTCTCGGGTCGCGGCGTGAATAATCGATACTTCGAGGACACATGACAGCCCCAGAAAATTCGTATTTTCAAATCCGCTTAGCGCGCGTAAACACACGCGTGGACACACACGTAGATGCAGCAGGCACGCTTCTCTCGTTGTAGCACCGATATGAGACTGGCTTATGGAAATCCGAAGAAACTTCAATTCGACGCCGGCGGCGCTTGTCGGACATTGGGAAACGAGATAATCTTCCTGGAGCACGTGGAGATCGAGGTGAATCTCGAGTACTCTCGTCGCGGGGCGCTACAGATGCATCTGGCCGCGCCCTCAGGTATACATTTTTCACTTTTTCGGCTCATTTATCATCCGCCCAAAGTTCTCTCTTACGTGCATCGCTTGATAAATAAGTTGGCGTGCATGCGAAGCAGCCAGATAGCACAAGTACTCCCGAATATATTCCTGATCCTCCGTCTCGACAGCGAGACGTATAAATAAAAGTATAAAAGTTCGGCACGCAAATAGGTCGCGCAATTCTCTCGAGCGGTGCACTCGTTTATGCAACATTTAAATGCGCCTCTGGAAACGCTGCCAATCTTCATTTGTATTAAGCTTACAGAAGCCTGAAAACGCCGGAAAGACAAGGGAATAACCGCAAAGGTGTTCAGACCATTTTACGCTCTCAGTCGGGATATCTCAGAGAGAACCTCGAAAATACCACGCTAGGAAAGTGTTCTGCAATTATACTGTCGCTCTCGAAACTGTCACAGACTAAATACAAACTCATTTAACACCGCAAATTCGCGTTTTTGCTCCAATTTATCGATACACGGAGAGAATATTATAGCTATTTTTTCATATAAATTCTTTACAATTTTATTGTGTTTTTAGTAGTGTCCAGGAATAAAGGTCTTGCTAAGAAACATAGTAAGTTTCGCTAGAAACGTAGCAAGTGTTTTAAATAGCTCATTTCAATTCCTAAAATACACAAGTAGCACATATGAAGTAACACATATGAAATAAAAAGATAGTAAATTACTGCAGAATGTCGATCTATTCCTCGGTTATAAAATCCTGTAATAATTTTTAGTATAAAATTCTCTCCATATGTAGAGAAATTCGATCTGACGCTACTCTTCGCCGCAGTTTGTTTATCCGAGAAAGAAATCGATACGGTTGTGATTCGTTCATTTCATTAAAAAGAAAAAAAAAGGAAAGAAATTTTTGCGTTTACGCGTTATTGTATATCGTGTGTGTTGCCATTTTTTAAATACATCTAAATATAGAATGCGTTGGAGCGGGAAGAAACCACAATTCCGCGCGGGATAAACCATTGATTTAGACACGAACGCGGACGAATGAATTGCAATCGTCACTTTGGCTGATGCGTCGTGTTATTTAATTCCGTGCACGTTTGCCGAGTGACATTATTATTGATAGACGCCGTTACTCGCATTGGGATATCGGAAGAGATGCGAAATGTATTGGAAGGCGCGAAGAGGAGAAGGATAGTAAAACCGTCTGAGTGCACATCTGATGAAACAATACTATAGTTTTGAGACTTACTTTTTCTTGTTTTTGCTCGCAGTTTTCATCGGAAATATTTCAGCGCAAAGCGCATTTTTCGCTAAAAATGAAAGAAACGCCGATATCGTATCGCAATTTTTGGAAGTATTTGTGAAATACGATACGGGCAGAACGGAGGAAGTTTTAGTTTTGAACGTGATACAGTTTTGAATGACTGTTTTTTTGGTCAGCGTCGAGTAAAGAACGCCTCTGCTGCGAATTTCAGTTTATGTTTTTACGTTTGGTTATTCTTCTCTGTGTATGTATATGTTTGAGAATTTTACATTTTTTAAATCAATAAACTAAAAAATATAAGAGAAAATTTGGTAGAAAGATTATATTTCCAAAAATTAAATTAAATGGGAGAATTCGTCCATTTATGTATCTTATAAAAAAAAAGAAAGAAATGGCTGGCAATATTTAATGTTTCAAATTATTGTTAGATATTTTTGCAAAATTTTTATCTGGGTCGTACGTGTGGTAATACTATATTACTCAAGACGCGCGCATATACTTTCCACGCACGTTTGCGAGAAAGAATCGATAACGCCCACACGCAACGAGTAATTAACATTCGCGTGTTATGCGAAGCGGATTGCGTTACTCGGCTAGAATACATGTATGCACATATTTTTCCCGTAAAACAACTGTAATTTGACGCTTTAACATTACTCGCGATGCTGTATTGTTCCCTTTAAGTCTCTCGTACATGCCTATATTGTAATTTTTAACAAGTTGTTATTCTTACGCGCAACGCCACACAGTTGTTACACGATAAGTTATATCTACGCGACGACGTTACTGTCGCTAAAAGCTATAGAATAGACATGCTGATTATGGTCACATCAGAAACGAAAGATCGCGCGAATTTCTTTACATGTCGAAATAAATCCATTTTTAGTGATAAAAAAGGTTTGGTAATAAATAATAACCATCAAGTCTGAATAATAGTTACCAAAGTTTGCTATCTGTTGTTAAGATTTGGTGATTATTATCAATCTATATAATGCGTATCACCAAATAAAATCATATTATTTAGCAATATTTACCACATCATGTGATAAATATATAAAGTGACCAAATACTTTGATAATAGTCTGATTAATTTAGTAATTATTATCAAATTATTTGGCACACGGAAAAAATGTTTAATAACAAGAAATCTCGTTAACTTGAACAGAATTCTGATAATTTCAACTGAAAATTTCTGGTTCGTTTATATTTCATCACAAAAATTTGGTTAATCCAACTGAAACGTTTTTTTCCATGTACTATTTACCAAATCATTTAATTGATTCGACTGAATAAAGAGTTTGTTTCACTAATTATTTTGTAATTATTATCAGAGACAACTCATTATTATATTTTAATACTAATCTTCAAGTACTGCACTAAAATGCATTTGTTAACTGTTGCAAAACTTTCTCTTCAATGTTGGACATTTTTATAGCCGCCCAGGATTGCACCGATGCAAGTCAAAAGCGTAGGTGATGGTATATAACTTGCGTCAGTAGGAGGATAATAATGTTTGGCAAGTATATCCGACATTTTCCGATATTTTTCGGACTTATTCGAAAGCCGACCCCTTTTCCACCGTCAAACCGATCCTTCGGTCACATAAATATACTAAAGGGTCGGTTTGATGATGGAAAAGGGAGCGATCTACCGCGGGATATATTGGAGCGTATCTCGTGCACTAGCCAAATATTATTATCTTTTCGCCTACGTAAATTACCCACTACCATTGACTTGTATTGGCTCCCAGTAGTATGCGATAATATAGAATAATATTCTCTCCTTTCTGTTACGTTGTATCAAGGATACTCCTGGATACTCGCCGCAGTCAGGTTGGATCGTGACGTCAGGGACGAGAAATGACACACCCTGAGAATTTCTGCGGGCTATTTTCAAAGAAAAAAAGCACTTGAATGAAAAAAATACTTGAGATCGCACACTTCTTTGCGCCCTTCGGGGCATAGTTTTCGAACTATCTTCTTTTCTCGACAGTCAATAAATGGCTGTAAGATTAGCACGACAAAATCACGAGAAAAATAAATTAAAAACAAAGGTTACATGTCACGTTAATTTTACGTTTGTACGTAATATTACGCTATTTATTAACTCAAGGAAAAAAAATAGTTCTAGGAGCTTTTTAAAAATACGCAATTTTACACGCAATAAAAATCTTACACATTTTATAAATATATACAGTCTGAAGTGTTCTTTCATATATTTTTCTTTGAGAATGAAACAAGAATTTTGAACATGCATTTCTAACATTATCAATCAAGTTTATACTTATCCATTCCTTGTATCCGACGAAAAATTCTATTCTATAGGATTAAATGAGAATATTTCTACACTTGTCCGTTCGATTTGTCTCATTTAAATCTATCAAATATAATTTATTGTCCGTACACGAACATGCATATAATGGATATAATGGATATGGAACGCATGCCTATATAAAGTCTGCTTGCGAAACTTGCATATTTTGTTTTTCAGGAACCTTAGTCCAAATTTTAAGTCCAAGAAAGCTGGATAATTCCGACGCTGGTTTTGCAAAATGGAAATTTATGTCCGTCGCGACGTGGGGTGAAGATCCTCGAGGCACATGGACCTTGGATATATTTGACGAAGTGAGACTTAAAAACATCCTCAAATTGCTCCCTGATCCCGCTACAACCAACTTATTATTTCCCAACGTTTTCATTATATAAAGAAAACCTTTGAATCCCTCTATAATATGTGCTCCTCTATGTTTCCTATAACGAATCAATATCCGAGTTGTATCGAAAGTTTGTTTGCACACGATGGTGCTCGGGTTACGCGATTTTTCAATCGTACATCTTAAATTATACCTCATGAATCTCAAAGGGCTAATATTTGTATGAATAAATTTACATGCTTACAAGACGTTTTACATATAAATAAAAGCGATGCGAATTTTCAGATTTACTTTCCTCGAAAAGAAGAGGCCTTCATCGTAAAACTCCTTGATTTCGCCGGATTACTAATTTTCAAAATGTTTAACGTGACCGACTGATGGAATATTGATTGGTTCAAATTACCTCTCTGCGTATCGGCAATCATGACCTATACATCAGTCACTTACAACTGTCACGCGTGCATATTTGATCGTGTATATTTGCTTTCAGATAGGTCCGGTGCAGAACAATGGCACGATTGGGGCATTTACGTTGACTTTACACGGCACCGCGCAAATACCTAATTACCGTAGAAACGGGCCGAGAGTATACAACGAGGACTACAATCGTATACATAAAACTGTAAGTGACGCGCCATTTCACTACCATCGTTATACTATCATGTAGATCTCCTCTAGCCAGGTTGAGGACAAAGCAAGATGATTTCTGATTGGTCTACATCCTGCCCGCCATTTTTAGGAGTGATGTGAATGGAAGTGAGAGACAAATTCTAGTAGAAGAGTAAGAAAGAAGGTTTAAGACTAAAATAACGAAACATGCTCTCTCTCACACATTCAGTTACTTCCTCTCTACAAAAGATGAACGATGTCCTAACTTTGGCTTGAAGGACATTGTTTCCATAGCCTCATTGTCTCGTTAGCATTCTCAGTAAGCAAGAAATTATTACAGCAATGTTATTACAACATGCAATGTTAAACTAAAAAACATAAATTAAAGGATAGCAACATACAATGTTAAACTAAAAAACATAAATTAAAAAAATATTACAACTCATATTTTTAAAATATTCTTTGGAGATTTTGAAAGCAATATTAAATAACTCTTTAAAAACACAATAGATTATGCAGAAACATTACGAAAATATACATAATATCAATATTTCAAATTGTAAATATAATGTTCCTTGTTTACTGGATTATTATATCTGTTTCAGTACAACATGTTCGAGCCGATCGCAACAAATTCCGCACGAGACGAATACGAGGAAAACATACAATCGCCAGCTATTAATGATATTTTGGATGAACACTGGTTCCAGAAGCTATTAAACTTATGATACCCAGCATCCTAGTCATATTGCTATATCGAATATCAAATTAATATTAAATGAATATTAAATTAAATTAGCGATCACTCTAATAATTATTTTAATTATTACAACAATACAAAATATGACACGGAATTGAGATTTTCGAGAAGTATCGTTCAGCTCGGCCGACGCTATTATTAAATTATCTCATCGCTACTAAATGTTTAAAAAGTCGTTCTGAGAAATAACCTTCAATTTAAATTGCCGATTAAATTGACTTCATTCGTCGCGTATTTTACGAAATGCAAATGTTTTATTTATGTCCGTCAACAATAACAGAATCAAGAAGAAGAACTAAACGATATGCGCGACTATTCTACAAACATGCGAGACGATCGATTGTTGCGCGATGCTGTTTATTTACTTTATATTTGCGTCGCTCCGTAAAGTTTCGTTCCCAGCGAGACACGTCGATAATACCCTTGAGCAGTAATTCTGCGTTGCACTGCGAATTAACAATGATATGATTGCATTTTACATCGAGATTGAACGCGAATAAGAATTGTCGTCGCCTACACGTATCGTTTTAATATCGAAAAAAGATCTCCTTGACCTTTCCCAACGCCGTCACCGACTTTCTACGTATTTTGTAAAGTCATTGTATTTATCGTAGAACGGCGGCTTAATAGCGCAGTCGAAATGCACACTGTAAATCATGCGGATATAAATAAGCCATACGAAAAAAACACAAATATTAGTACATCGACGTGGTTTTACTTTCTCGTGATAAAAAAGAGATGTCCTAGTTTCTTCATCGAGAATTACTGTATTATTCTCGTGTCCCATTTTTTTCTCGCGCTTCGATTCAACTCTAAACACACCCTTTTCCACGCTGTAATTGAGTCTCAATAATTATCGTACAAGAAATGTAATTATGTTAGTAAAATGTAATTATTAGGGACTAAATGCCGCCTATTTCAAAATTTCAAAGTTTCAATTTCACAGACAACTAATTGTTGTGACTGATTGTACAAACATGATAGAAGCAACCTTCTTCAGGTATGTTAATACGTGTCAGGATCCTGTTAATCGTATATTTTGTTTTGTAATAATCAAAATACAGACATACAACGTGGTCATTTTGCCCTAATACCGGATTCAGTTGTTGAGTAGGAGAGAGAGAAAGAGGTAAAAAAAGAAGGCCACATATAAAATATATATCCTGATTAGTAATCCGGGGTCTCCGCGAGAGGTCTCGACAGTCCTCCTCCTGGCCTTTAATTATGGGTCAACTTTATCTCGTTCCTCATATATTCAATTTCAATCATTTTATGAATGAAAATTGCTTTTATTACTTAAAACAGTAATCATACAAGAAACTTTATTCTTGCTAATAACACGTTATTTAACTGTGCTCACTCACGATAAAGAATATTAATATAAAATTTCGAGAGGCTCGAAAATTTATTTTGCTATTACTGAATATCTGAATTACTTATCTGTTCTTTTCTATGTTTTAACTGTAATATTATTCCAATTTTATAATGCAATTCAGAGAAAAGTATATATGTTCCACACGATTTTGTGTATCCACTGTTCCTCCCAAAACAAATATTAAAAAAAGCAACATATTCCTGGGGTCTACAGACCTGATCTCTCCTATTAAACATAAGGTCAATCCTATTACAAGTGCACGACGAATAGAGCAATAAACGAATAATAAAACAGTGAGAAGAAACTTTATAGATCAAGAAACTTTATAGATCTACACAGAAAGAGCATTATAGCTTTTTTCATATAAATTATTTTCAATTTTGCTATGTTCCTAATAGCATAGGAATAGTCTGCCGATAAGTCTTGTTGAAAAATCTATATTTCATTGAAAATGTAGCAAATTTGTAATAAAACATTTCACACAGTTCTTAAAATATAAGTAAGCCAAATGAAATGATATATAAAATAAATTACTACAAAATCGATCTAGTCTGAGAATTGATTTTCAGAGGTTATTATAGTTTGTTTTCATATAAATTCTTTTCAATTTTACTGAAATACTAAGTAAACTGTCAGTAAGGCCTATCTGAAGAATATAGCAAGCTATTTCGCTAGAAGCATAGCAAATTTTTTAATTTCAGTTCCTAAAATATAAGTAGCACATATAAAACGAAAGGATAGTTAATTATTATGAAATATCTATCGCACGATTACAAAATTTTATATTAATTTTTACGATAAAATTCTCTCCGTGTAAATATATTTGAGAATACTATAATTTAATTGAACGTGAAAACATCCTACAAATTCACACAAGAAGACAATCTAAAATTCCATTACATAGTGCTATAAACTGCCCCGTAGATACTTAATAATATCATGGTCACGTAGACAATAAAGAGAAGGGTGATATCCAGTAGTCTTCAAATCGACAAATCCGTACCAACTATATAAGAGCGCCTGTGATAGTGGTCCAACCCTCCACGTGGCTGCGCTGCCGTCGACCTGATAATGGGGGTGCCTCGCAAGGCGAAACGGGGACGATTCGGCCAGTAGCATGCCGCCTCTTGTAGTGTGAACGTCGAGTGAGCTTTCGTGGCGAAAGAACGCAACTCCACACCTAATTTTGCAACTCCAGTTGTACCAGTGACCGGAAATCCAAGAGGGTGGCTCTCGCCGTGACGAGGACAATCCGAGACGAAACGGCGTAAGTGAACGTTCAACTGATTCGTCGTTCATAAGATTGCTGTGATGTGATGTACACTTTGATGATACATTTTTGTATCTCGAATATATATAATTCCATGCAAAATATTATTTTAATTACGGAAAATGAAAAGCTGAAACGGGGACTTCTTTCTGTTCCGTGTATATTCCGCCCTGAATAATACGAAAATTTTATGAAAAAGACTAAAGGGAGAAATAAAATTAATAATTTCAGTAAGCAAAATTTTGACACTGTATTTCGATGCAAAAGATTTCTTCATTAATGTATAATAAGCTTTCCCTCAATTACATTGCTCAAATAATATGCAAACGACTAAACTGGTATTCAATAATCGACTAAAAATAAGAAAATTTATTAAGCAAATTTGGCTTTTACAATGCAAAATACATGACAAGATTATGGTTTCTTTTTTTATTCTGAGCTATAATTTGTTAAAATATGGAATGTTGAATACTAGAAAGATGAAACGATAATAGAGAGTATTTATTATAATGCGATAAATTACGTTAATTTCACTTCTAAGTTATCAAAAAAATTGTCATATTAATAAAATTATGATCGAAAATCCTGAAATTCTCCATATACAAGGAAAAAAAAACAGAATCTAAAAAGAATTGTAAACTCGTAGCAAGACTCATATCAACAATTCATTTATACATTGGCGGAATAGTTTTGTGATCATAATCACAATTCAATTGGATCCAATTGGAGTCCAATCGAGAAGAAAGGATGTGGAGGGGTCAGATGTGACGACGTGTTTCTCATACTACGTCGATTTCTCACAAATACTCTCACATGTGAAACACACCCGCGCTCAACTCGCGCTAATTAACCATCACGGGAAACGTACAACCGCTCAGCGACCATGCCCAAAGTAATTTAACGAACTCTTCAACATATTATGTCTCTCGTGACTCCATGGGGTGGCTGAAATCTATTTTAACACATCTCAAATTCGTACGCCACAAGTCGCAGAAAAGTTTTCAAAGATTCTGGAATTGGTGGAAAGTGACAAATTTTACTGGAAGTAATTCTTTCTCGCATACCATTCCCATAACCGATTATTACTTGAGGTTAAGGATTTAACTGATTCTTTCTTCTTTTAACTCCGAATCAAACTCGGAATACATTTTTCAAACATTTGTCGTTCAAATACGTCATTTTTCAAACATTTGTCGTTCAAATACGTCGTTCAAACATTTTTTGTCGCTACTTTAATACACATAATAGCAACGTCACGTTATTACAAAAGTACCCACAGCTTCCTCGCTCATACTGTTGTCGAATCATGAAGAAGAGGAAAGTTCAAAATTAAAATCCCTTAAGAGATTTGCAAAATCTGTTCACTAACTCTGGAAAGGGAACAGCGGCTATTGTTCGAAAGCTAACACCAACGGGGAAACGTATTCTCAAAGTCGGGCTATTAAAGTTTCCGTAAAAATACGGCTTGCAAGTTCAGCGGATTAATACCGATACGCCGTGATTGAAAACGCGTTGTGACGTTAGACAAGCACTGTTATTTCAGCAGTAGGAAATTCACCTAGCTTGGGGATCCTTGATACTTTTCGGGAAACTCGGAGTTAGCTGAGTATGCACGCATGACAGGCGAGAATATAATATTGCGGTGGTGTTAAAATAATGTAAAGGTCGCGTAAACATACGTATATACGCGCGTTATCCGCAGCCTCTCCGACTCGTACATATGCACAAACGATATACGGATGATTTGTTGCGAGGTCGAGGCTTACATTTCGCCCGTCCCACCGTTTTACATCGATAATCGACGACGACGCGAAAACGGGCAACGTTCCGATACGAAATCGACACAACGCAAAATGTTGACGTTGTGCTATCGTTCTATGATTAGTTAAGAATTTGTGTTGCGAATATCTCAAAAATAATGAAAATATCTTGAATAAATTGGATTTAATCTATATTGCATTTGAAAGTAATCATAAACAATATGACATTGATTCAGAGTTTGGATCACAGTTTCTCAACTTTGAAGTGTAAGCTCAGTGATAACGTCACATGATAACGTCAAATAACGTTGTAATAACGCATTAATGACATCCCTAATATACGTCTTTAATAATACATCATTAATACATCATTTGATGTCATTCTACTACTTGGGAGAGTTTTAAATCCTGCTGTTTTATGAAATATATGATGTTGCTATCTTTAGTAAAGAAAAAAAAAGATATTGACAAAAATTTCAATTTTGTACATGTATACTTTAAGTACTCTAAATGATGTGTGCAAAATTTCGTTGTAAAACAGAGGTAACAATTTAAGATTCAGATATAAAATATAGGTAAACTATAAAAATTTAATGTTACAGTAAAAATATGTTGTTCAATTGTATCGTGCATATATAGCATATAATTTTATATGGAAAATATTTGTGTATTTCTAATTTTCAGTGACTTTTTGCAGAAACGAGAAATATATCTTTAAAGCTTCAGAAAGTTAAGTCGAATACAAACGAATCAATTAGCCCATTTTCTAACTGACTGAACAGTTAGAAAGAACCTTACTATAATTTTCTTTAAAAATAATCATGTCTCGAGATATGTTTTGGTTTAAATGTTGATAAGTGTCTTTGATCGTGCATCGATCAAATAGCAATTGAACGTGATGAAAAAAGTAACGTGTACAATAAATATTGTCGCAGACTAGTTCCCGATTTCCTTTGGCGAGCTTAAACGGATAGTTGAGGAATAACCAAATTAAAATTTCATCTATGCACCAGGAAGTCAGAATCCTATTCATTTTATCGAAGAATCTGATTTTAAATTTCGTTCCAATTTCTACCCGTAATTGAATTTTTACTTTAACAAAGTCTGGGACGTTCAGACAGCCGATAAACGATTAAAGTTCGATGCGAGAGAAAGATACTATCCGTTCGAGTCTCGCGTGTGACTCCCTATATATTTTATAAGAGACAGTAAACGATGCCCCACTAGAAATTCTGGATGCTTGATATATCTTCGTACCGATATTCAGCTGCTTGGTAGGTTCGCGGAAAGTTCCGTTCGACAGAGAGCTTGAATTATCTGGAAAGCGTGAACGAGTTTCTGAGCTCTGCTCTGGGAAATTATACTACCACCAGAAGACGGACGACTTAAACGTCGTAATTAAACTCGGAGACAATTATTTAGACAGAGAGATCGCCTTTCAAACGTAGTGTAACGGATTGACCTTTTTATTAGAATCTTTGAGGTGACGTGCGTACAAAGCTTTAATTTTCTTAGCTTCATTTTTCTTCGCCGTAATCACACTCCGACGCCAACGTCACTATCATTCAGCGTTCATTTTAATTAGCTTGCTGTTTCGCTATAAAAACTATACGCACATAATCTCTCGACTGACCTACTAATAGAGTGTAATGCGCGCTTCATTTAAGCGGATTATATTCACTAAATCGTGTACAAAGCGTCATCCGCGTAAACGCATACACGACTGACGCCGCATCCTCGATTAAGTGCGCCAATCAATACGGCAGAAATTCGAATATTACATCAGTCGCATTCTTCCATTTCACCGGATCAAATATCACAATATTGCAGCGTTACCTCATTATTGGGAAGGATTTATTTAATCGTAAACTCTATGCGTGCGTGCGTGCGTGCGTGTGTGTGTGTGTGTGTGTGTGTGTGTGTGTGTGTGAAGTATATATTTTATATATTATTTATATTTTATGTATTATACTAAATTATTTCGAGTGTCCGATCATTTCTCTGCGAATTCTCATTCTCACGAAAGCAATTTGTATTCTTATTTTTCTTTATTCACGAGAACGAAGTACAGCATATGTAAAAAGAATATCTTCAGAAAAACATTGTTATATTTATTGTTATATTTATTAAAAGAATCACGTGAAAACGGTGTATATACAATTTTTAGAGCAGTTTGCATTATTTATCTCGATGGAAAATCAACTCTTCTGACTATAGTGATAAAACATTTATGCTTTAATGGACATTGATTTGAGAATATTTGAAAGCCTCCTTTGGAGTCATCAAATAAGTGCACTTTTAATAAAAGTTTTCTTAAATTGTTTACATATTTGAAATTTGTTACATATGTACACGGAGGAAATATTGTAATAAAAATTAAGTAAAAATTATATTTCTTTTTGCAATGTTTTTTTATGAAGCTGCAGTATACTGTGAAATTGTACACGGTAAAAAATTTTTTGTATTTATGTTAAAATCTATCCGTGTAAAAATTTTTATGTTAATTTTTTAACATATCCGTGTGTTAATTTAACATAGTCATCGTATCATTTTAACTATCCTATATTGAATTCACTATTTCTAAGTGTTAAAATAATGCAATAGTGTAAAAATGTTACATTTTTTTGTTAATTTTCGACACACTTGTGTTATTTGTTTACATATTTGTCTTGTGTTAAATGAACAAAAAATACGAGTAAATAAATTGGGACACGTAAAATATGTTAAATTTAACAAAGAATTTTTACAGAGTAAATTACTACAGAAATAGTAAATTTGGCAATTTACTGAATATACAATATAAAAAACATTCAAATAATCACATAGTGAAAAAGTCAAATGTGCGTAACGTTTTTAAATAAATATATAGTAATTTCGGTCTCATAATTTTCTGTATGCAACAAGATTACGAGAGATTTGTTGCAATTTTTATTATATTTTCTCCATAAAGAAACAAAATGGCTTGACTCGCGTTTCTTTTTGCGTTTTAATCGACGCGTCGGATGATGGGCGATCTCTGTCGAAATAATGTCAGTTCGCAGGAATCATGAATTAATAGCAATCAATTATTAAGGACATCTTTGCTCGTGTTTCATCTTCAATTTCGGCACACGTCTATTGTATTCGACCGTGACATTCAAAGTCCGAGTCCTATTCAGAGGAGATCAGTGCACCGTCGCGCATCGCAAAGCACCGAAACCTTATCGTGTGTGTGTATGTGTGTGTTGTGTGTATGTG